TGGTTAGACCGCGGCGTAAGACTTAGAGATCCTGTTTGAGTAAACCAGGAAAGATAACCGGGAAAAAGTAAAGATGGGGGAAAACACTGATAAACAATGGTAGAAATAACTGACTGAGATGCACGAAACTGCCTGAGCTTTCGGAATTGAAATTATAGGCGCCGCAGTTTACCAATGCAGTTGTGGATGTGGGTTGACAAATGAAGATTTCTACCTATGGCTAGACCAAGATATTTTACAGAGTTCACCAACCGGGTTATAACCCCGGATGTTGGCTTTTCGTCCTCTCACTTTGGTCGGAAACACCTCTTCAGCAGAGGCTATTCAAGACGCTTGATCGTATGGGAGCATTTCGTGAGGCGCAAGGGATGGGTGACCAGCCGCAACCTCAGACACCCACTCCGGACCATACTGAGGCTTTCGGGGGCGAGTCAGAGATAGATGCAGATCGACCACATCGCTATAAGCCACAGTGGCTGGGATGCACACATGACTGCCGATCGCACTGGAGCACTCCCCTCGAATCCTACCACGCGTTAGTTTGCGCCAAGCTGTTCACATGCTTCTTTGGTCGTTCTTGACGCACGACACGACGGTTAGACTGCAGTAGGCTGGCGGCTCATCCATTCATAATCAACAGTGCCTCGAACGCTCGATAGAGCACTCTGAGGCACAGTTTAGCTGGCCACCAACGTCGGCTTTTTACGCAGCTATTCCGGTACACACCCCACGGTCTGTCTCAACTGGTCTACCGTCTGAGGCGGAAATCCTTAAGGAGATCCAAGCCGTGGGACGTCGCGAAGCACCGAGCTCCGATAGTCTTCACTCAGCCCTATTTAAATATGGTAGAATGAAGCTTGTTGGAGAACTACAAGTTTTGTTCTTTAAAGTTTGGAACACCGAGCAGGTCCCCTTCTCGTGTGGGGAGGGGGGGGGAATCGATTATTGTACCCATCTTCCGAAACGGCCCGCGCAATGGTTGCGCCAATCATCGGGGTTTAAGCCTGATCACAATAGCGTCAAGCCTATTGGCGTCCGATTTTACACTGCGTGTAAAGCAAACCCGCGAGGATCAGGCTGCGTTTCGCGCCATTCGTGAATACATCGACCAAATCTTCCCCCTTAGCTGCTGGAGCACTATCATGCCTACCAAAGGACAAGAATCACTGTGTTCTTAAACATTCGCGGGAATTTCGACTCTGTCGATTGGACACCGATCATCTGTCTTTATTCTGTTGTCGTAATGGCCAATTCTCTGCACCGCAGAGCAACATCCGTCGAACAGCTGCTGCACAAAATCGACTCAGATGTCGCGACGACGCCGCAGATATCTCAAATTTGCAAATGCCAACCGAGCCTTCTGTATCCGTGCCCACATTACATCTGTGGCACGTCCGTTAGGCTAGATATAGCTACCTAGATGGCAAAATTTGTCTACAGAGACGGAACAAAGACCAATCGGTTTTAGGTAAAGAATTAGTATGTTTATATTTTCACACATCTGAATCTAGACTGTGCCAAATAAATCAGGGTACAATAATCTTTATGAAAAAGAAAAATGTTCCATGATCGGTAAAGGATAATAACCTTCGTTGCTTGTTTGGTTCAGCTAGTTTCGACTTTTTGGGGATCGCAAACTTGAAAAGAGTTCATATACATCACTGATTTCGGTTCGATGGCGTACCTCGGAATGTTTCCACCCAACAAAATCTTTGGGCCTTTATTGGGGAGCCCTGACGGAAACAAGATCCCAACAGAACCTTTTTTATTCTCTACACCACATCGTAGCTTGCCCAGCTTGCTGTTTCCGGTTCGATGTCTGCCAATAGGTAGGTAGGTCGGACGCTGTTCAGGCATTTATAGGGCGTGTATCATTCAGCTTATAAAGTTGTTTTTCTTAGCACAGGTCTAGTGGACCCTACCACATTTTCTGGCCTCATCGTCATTCATGTGATACTTCCACTATATCCGAGCTGTGCTGCACAGAAAACGGTTGTCAAAGACATAGTGGTTGGATACGATCCCCTTGGAGAGTCCCGATTTCGCAGTTGTTGCAAGACTTAGAACGTACGGTTGAACTATGCGCACACCCTCTCAGTGAAGGAGATTTTTTGTTTCGATGCCAGAAAGGTCGCAGGTTAGCATACGCTGATCTTGCTTTATTTGCGCCAGCCGCTATGCAACTACCGGAAAAGACAAAAATCTACGCTCCATTTGAGAAAAAGAAGTTTTTCCAAAAGATTGGGCAACTTCAGTTTTAATCCTGGTTCCGAAAAAGGGCGACAGATCCAGATGCGAAAATCACAGGGGTATTAACCTTATTAATTTTGCGGTCAAATTGTTTGCAGTGATGCTGCCTAATCGCTTCGCAGCCGTCAGAGATACCCGCACCCGCCCGAACCAAGAGGGGGGAGGGGGGTTCACTGTGGAAGAGGCTGTGTTGAACAAATTTTCACTCTCTATAGTACTCTGGAACACCACTACTCATTCCAGCAGTCTACTATAGCATATTTCATCTAATTCCGCGCTCGTTTTGACTCTGTCGATAGAGAATCCTTGTGCATATCGCGGTCCGACGGGATGCTTGAGAAGTTCATCAGGCTTTTAAACTCAGACTACTCAGGAACCCGAGCACGCGTCCGTACCTATAGACAAGAATCAGCTGAGTTTACCCTAAGCTCTGTAGTCAGGCAAGGTTTTCCCCTATCGACCACANACAACCTCCAGCCTGTTTTCAGTCGTATGAACCAGTTTCCCAGGCCATGGGGCTGGAGGTCAACACGTCGAAAATCGAGACATCTCCGACAGAAACTTCTGCCATGTCACGACCCCTCTCGATTAATGGGGAGCTTGTAGCATCAACCCAAGTTTTCAAGTATCTTGGCTCTACAATCAGACCAAACGACCCGGCAAAGGATGAAATCCAACTCTTTGTAGATGGAGCTGGAAAAGTTTTCCTGCAACTCCTCAGACCGTTGTGTAACCGATGCGAAGTAAGCCTAAGCACTATGATTCGGGTTTATCAGGTTTCCATCCGTCCGACCCTCACTTATGGTTGTGAAACTTGGCGGCTCAGAGTATAACATACAAAGGAGCTCAAGGTCTTTGATCATCGGTGCTTACGCCGCATCTCGAGAGATCGGATTTTCAGTGATGAAATTCGGCGCTGCTCGAATATCGACAAGCTTTTGAAAATGCTACAAAGCCGACGCCTTCAGTGGTTTGGCCATGTTCTCCGAAGGTCCGACATTCAACTCTCGTCACAGGCTGTAGCCTCCGCACCGTGCCGTGGATGGCATTGCCATTTCGGTGGTCAACTGAAAACCCGGAGCAATACGATCAAGGCGGACTTGGAATTACTGGGCCTCCAATCCGCATATGGCGTCCCTAAATGGAACTAGCACTGGGTCTCACACTGCGTCAACCTTGCTGCCGATCGTCATGCATGGGCCGCCATTATTAGACATCCAAGAAGCCGACTTATCCTCCCGCAGAAGTTAGTCGATCAAAAATAGAAGTAAGTAAGCTACTTTCATGGTGTCATTTCCCCAAAAGGTGCAAGGATAAGTTTCTCCAATCTTGCAGAATCGGCGTGCAGCTATGTTCAGTAAAGTTTACTTCACTAATCGCTGTCAAACTCACAATGTGATGTGGATCAGGATCTGCAAACATTTTCAAACATTCTGGTCTGGTAAGAGGTAAAAAGAACTCTACTGTTCTGTTTAGGGTCTGTCTGTCTGAGCAGTAGCCCACTTGTCGCTCCCCCATTCTGCTAGGTGCGGTGGGTATCGCGGCCCTGATTGTTCTACGCTACGACCGATGCAGTAAGAAATTACTTTTGGTTTGCGTTCATTGATGCTTTATGGACGGTACTGCTAGTGAGTTCAACCAGTTAGCATGAGAATGACTAGGTTTTTCACCCTAAGCCTCGTGAAAAGCATCTTATGCAGCTCGTTGGGTCTTAGAGGTGCAATTTCCATCACACCAAAACTGGCGCACGAAAGCGCGCTCTTAATGTCAGTAAAAACTGGAAGTGAAACCACATCAAGTTGCAGACTCGTCTTGGAGACTGCTGTACACCCTTTCTATTTCTGTATTTCTCCTGTTCTTTGCCCATTCAATCACAATCGGCAAACTTGTTTTAAAATGACTGTTTCTTCCTGCACGTCATTTCAGTATATTAAGTCTAGATGGTGGAATTTAACTTTCTTGCAGTTAACTTTGTTTATCATCTAATAAAAAGTTCTAGTTTTGTTTTCCAAAAGACACTCGAAAACCTCCTAAAGCTGCTTCACTCTTCGCACTATATGTGGTAGTGCAACCTTTATTGTAGTGGATGTATTCTGTCTTTCAGGTGAAAATTGGTGTGGATCACCTCTGGTAGTTAGTGGTCCGGCTTTCCCTTTTCCGGTGTTTCAAAAGTCTTTCCGGCTCTTTCCTCACCAAGGTCAGTCCCTGTAATTATTGAAATTACTTTGACTTTTCATGACCTTGAATGGTAGTACTGTAGCCGAAGGGCAGTTTTTGGAGTTGTTCATATTTAACAAGGTGCAAATCAGAATTTCGTTTGGTGAGGCATACTGTATCCAGAATTCAACTTCTATCAGTTTCATGTCTATTTATGAATATCTGTCCATTTGGTCATTCTTGTATTCCTAGGTTATCAGCTGCTTTGTATATTGCTCTTTTAAAACTAATTTTGTGGTGACAATAATGCACTGTTTAGCCTGATCATTGTTTGTTTTCTCGTTTTCTTGCCTTCGTTACAGTATGCCTCGTTTCAAGAGCACACCCCGATCCATCCTGGAACTGGTACCTCCCGATCCAACGCCGCTGAATGCATCCCCAGAATTTCCTGTCGCAGAACCCAACGTAATGGCTGACGAACCAGCCGTGGTGCTCCCGGATGAATGTGACACAAAATTTGGCGCCGGATCGGATTTCGATGAGTGTCAACCGGAAAGATTATCCGGTGTACTGCCTATTCCCCCAGTGACCAATGCAGAATGTTTTGGCTCACTGCATGCAGCTGCTCTATTTGCCCAGGCGGCTGCTGTGCTAGCCATGGGCGCAGATAACACATTCCCACTCAGCAACACCCACACTCCACCTATCGCTCCTCTTGGCTTGAGTTTCCTCGGGCTCCCTCATCCGGTCGTTGATGGTCTTGATGTACTGAATCCAAAAACTGCGAAATCTGGCCCCTACGCCAC